AAACCTCCCAGGTGCCAAAGGAAACCCAGATTCCTTTTGGCAGGCTGTCTCATGGGAAAAGGTGCTGAATAAGAGGGGTTCCCAAAGCTGGGTTTTGAAACAAATAATTGGAAAAATGGATTTTATTATTATTTTTCTTTGGCCAAGAGCAGCTAGTGCTTGATAGAATAACTTTGTGTCTGTGTGAGAGGAAGTAAAGGCCACATACATGGATTTCCTCCATGGGATGGGAATGATCCAGGCACATTCCCCACTCCCAGCCCCTCTAGGAGCCTTGACTCAGGAAGGCACATGCAGGACCAGCAGTCTTCAAAATGCCCTCAAACAACAAAGTAATTGAAATAATCTTCAATTACATGGGAAAAAAAATCCCAAAGGGTAGGGAATTCTCTGATTGTGCCAGAGGAAAATAATAGGAAAGTAAGGGAGATTAGAGTAAAAAGCTCAAAAAGCCAACAAAAAGCAGGAATATGATTTTTGAAGGAAAAATGCTTGGCATTCCTGCAATATTTGTCTTAGCAGGGCACACAGCTTTTTTTGGGGGCCAGATGTTCCAGCAGCTGGAGGCTGTGCTGTTGTCACTGCAATGAGCTTTCCAAGGAGATCTTTACTCCTACCAAGCATCTTGTCTCCCTGCTCTGGGATCCATAAATCACATTTTAAGGAAGGAAAGGTTGTGACTGGCAAAGCAGTTCAGGCAAAGGAGGGATGAGCCAAATGTTGCCCTGAAAGCTCTCCTGGATGCCCAAGATGGAATCTCTAGAATTCCAGAACTTGCCACTCTGTAGATTCCCTTGTCATCCCAAGGAAAAGGAAATATCAAAAGAAATCTACAGGTTGTAGGCACAGATAGGAAAAAAAAAATGGAGATTTAATAACAGATCTTAAAAAAAACCAAAACAATACAATTTTGGTATTCTCTCTGTATCCAGGAATTTTAACTGTTTCTTTTATCAATTATTTTAGCTCATTATGGGATCTCTAAGATACTTTTGAGGTGAAGAAAAGAGGAATTCCTGCTTCCCTGTGTGTCCTCAGGGCCAGAACCTGCAGCCTAAAATGGCTTTGGTTTATTTTGCTCTCTTCTGTTGAGATATTCCAAGGATATTCGATATTCAAAGGAAATAAAGGATAAAGTTCCATGAAAAAATCTGATCAGAAAGGGCAAAGAGCACAGGAAAATATTGTAAGAATCAAAGCATTTCCATCAAATGCAGCAAATTCCAGAGCCTTGGATTCACTGGCATTATTTAGGCAAGATTCTTTCCCTGCAAACATTTTCAGGACAAAAACACCTTTATAAACTGAGCAGGAATTCAGACAATTCTCTTTCTTCACTAGAATGAGGACCTCTGATATTTCCTCATTTAAATCTGTAATAATTCAATAATTTAATAAATAAAGGAAGAAAAGCAGAGGTTAGTGCTGTTAATATTTAAAAAGCAAGAACTAATAACATTCCATTATAGGGAAAAGCCAATTCCTGCTGGTAATTTCCCTAAAGATTCTTTTGTGGGTTTGTTTCCTGAGGAAGAATGAAAATATTGTGTTTGGGGCTCAAGGAAGCCTGGTTGGAATTCTGAGGGGGAGCAACAGGAGTTCCATGAAAATACCAGTGAAAAACAAAATAATTCTAATACAAGGAAACACGAAGCAAAGATCAAGGCACAGGATTCATAATTAGAGGCTATGCATGTTACATCTGGTTTTAATTAGAATGTTCCTAATGAAAAGCACAAAAAGGTCTTTAATTAAGGAAATGGGCTCTCAAACACATTGGAAATTCTGGGGAAAAAATGGGAATTGCAAAGAAGGGGAATTCAAGCAGCAAGGAGCAAATCCTTTGCTAAAAATTGCCATTTTATTCAAATATATCCCTTTTTCTTTCTTGGAGCATCACCACCTCCCAGCTCTCAGAGGCCACTGCTCATAATCCAATCAGACCCATAGAGAATAATTCATGTGGTTTATCACTCCCCAAATTAATTCTGATTAAAAATGACTTTTGGAGAATGATTTGTGGTATTCTGCTGAGCTAAAGCATCCTTTTTATCTACTTAAAGGAATCTTACTATGAATCTGGAGCAAAGCAGCTCATTATCCTCCTCTGAAAGGCTTTTATACTCAAATTAATGTATTTAAGAGGATGCTGCTGGCAGCAAACCCAATGACCTTAGAGAGCTGGGAGAAACTCCATAGGATTGGCCTTGGTACATATCAACTGTTTGGATGATGAGAGAAGATTTTATCCAACATTTTATTGGTCTATTTGTTTCTAAGTTCAGTTTGTGTGGAAGATTATGGACTCAGGATTAGTGTTCTTCTCTCCCATTTTTTTTTAATTTTAATTTCTTTTTGGTGTTTGATTATTATTATTATTTGTGCAATTTTGTTCAAGGCACAGTAGAGCATGACTGAAGCAAGTGAAGCATCTGAATGTTCAGCGGTGTATTTGTGATCAATTGATCCAAAACTGATCTACATCAACTACTCTATTAATAATTAAAGACTGCAGTCTTTAATTATTCCCATAAGTTATCATGTCCTGTTAAAGAAGAACTAACAGTGGGATTTTTGGGGTGTTTTTGAAAGCTGTAGTTTTGCAACTTGCCACTTGAAATGCTGGGAGAGTTGGGATTGGCCAGCCTGGAGAGGAGAAGCCCTGGGAGGACTTTGGAGCCCCTTCCAGGGCCTAAAGGGGCTCCAGGAGAGCTGGAGAGGGACTGGGGACAAGGGATGGAGGGGCAGGACACAGGGAATGGCTCCCAGTGCCAGAGGGCAGGGCTGGATGGGACATTGGGAATTGGGAATTGTTCCCTGGCAGGGTGGGCAGGCCCTGGCACAGGGTGCCCAGAGCAGCTGGGGCTGCCCCTGCATCCCTGGCAGTGCCCAAGGCCAGGCTGGAGCAGCCTGGGACAGTGGAAGGTGTCCCTGCCATGGCAGGGGTGGCACTGGATGGGATTTAATGTCCCCTCCCACCCAAACCACCCCAGGATTCTCTGGTTCCAATATCCCATGTTTGGGGCTCATCAAGGCTGTTGTCAGTGCCAACAAGAATAATAAGATACTGAGAAAATCACTTTCTTCTCAAAATCACTCAAATGATGTGGAAGAAACTGAGCAACTGTTAATGAACGCAGAAGATGAAAGCAAATGCATGAAAAACACCTCCTAAGAACCTGAATTTCCCTCTGGAATCCAAACCTGAATAATTTCTACAGTGCAAGCTCTGCATGTACTTTATCAATGTTCTCCTAAATTTCAGCTTGGAAAGCTGCTCATTTCATTCTGCTCCTCAAGAACAGACATTCATTCGATTAATTATTCTTAAACCAGGCTGGAATGGGGATTGTGTTTAACTAACAGAGCAATTACTTTTGCTTTCTAAAGGCCAGGAAAAAAGGTAACGAGCACACTGACTGCTGCAAATGCTCCGTGCTACAACAATAAATCCCAGCCTGATCCTCTGCAACAAAAGTACTTCTTAATTATTTCTAATTTTACTTTCACTAAACACACAATTATGTTTAATGCCATCCACTAATACCAACTCCTGGCTTAGGCCTCATTCCATTTTGTGCCAGCAAAACCAGGGAGGATTGGAACAGAAAAAGCTTAAAGACACAAAATTGACATTTTTTTTTGCTCCTTCTTTGTGGACTGATCACACGTTTTGAGTCAAATGTTTCTGAAGGGTAAAAGCAGATTCCCCTCATCACCTCAAAATTTCCCTTTTCTCCACCTATTTCTTATCCCCCTGACTGACACACAAATACCTGTGCCTAAGAAATCCTCTGGGAAAACCAGGAAGGATTTCACAGCCTGTCCACATCTCGTGGGACGGCTCCAAACGTGTTTTGACATTTTTGCCTCATGATTCATTTGCTTTCACACGAGGAACAAAACGTTCCTTTCCCTAAATGACTTTGCCTTCCAGAGTTTTTTATCTGTTCCAGTGCCTCTTGTCCTCTTATCTCTCTCCACAATTCCCTGGAAGGAGGATGGAGCCAGGTGGGGATGACTCAAGGGACAGGAGGAGAGCAAACAGCCTTGAGTTGTTCCAGAGGAGGTGTGGATTGAATAATTGGAAGAATTTATTCACAGAAAGGGTGGTTAGGCATTGACCAGGTAAGTGGTGCAGTCATCATCCCTGGAATTGTCCCAAAATGTCTGGAAGTGGTGCCTGGGGACATTTTTGGTGCTGACCACAGTGGTGCTGGTAGATGGTGGGACTTGATGGTCTTAAAAGTCTTTTTCAACCTTAAAGATTCCATGATTCTTCAAGAGTTCTAAAGTTCATGGATTTGACATGATTCTTGGATTTGCTGCCATTTTTGGATTCCTAATTTTGATGACATAGAAGCTTCCCAATTCCCCACTTCTCTGCCATTTCTGGGCTTATTTTGGGAAGGACTCTCATGAAACCAGCAAAAAAACCCCCAGATAGGAACAACTTTATTAAGCTCTGACCCTTTTATCATTCCTGGTGCTCTAAATACATAATTTATTTGTTTTATTGGAAAAAAAATGAGTTTTTACTCTTGGCTATTAATATCTGATGTGAATTGTAGTCTGTATATTATATTTCCATTATTTTTCTCTCTTTAAAGATAACAAAAAAAACCCCAACTCTATGGATGGTTAATTTTATGTCCACTTTCCTCCCAGTGCAGACCTAACGTTGCTGGATTTCCCCTTTACATCCTAAACAAGGTACCACCAAAATAAATTAAAAAAACTTCAGGAGAAAACTGGCATTGAACATAAACCAAATATTTAAATATTAACAGATCTAAAATGAGACCTACAAAGTGGCATGAGACACAAGCTGACTACAAACAAAACCTGGGTTTTAACTCAAAATCATCCTTGTGCCAACATCAACCATCGAGCAGCTTTAGAAGATGCAAGGAAATTACAAAATTTCCTGGAAAAATCAAACCAGTGAGTACAAAATTTCCCTCTGTAAGTGAAGGTGATCACAAAAACTTCAGCCTTACCTTCACTTTAAGCACAGAAGAAAACATTCTGGCATCTTCAGACACCCCTCCAATGTACATTTTTTTGGTAAATACAGGTGCATGGTCATTTTCATCCTTCACCTCAACAAAGACCTTGGCTGTATTACCTAAAAGAGGGAAGGAAAAGGGAGAATAAAATATTTTGCAATAATTTGTAACATCTCTTAGCATTCATGCATTTACAACTCAGGAATATTGGTTTCAAGGCTTTTGATCCCATTAAATACCTACAGGTGCCACAAAGAGCTCATTAACAGCAGCTCTGCACCTTGCTTTATCTATTTTCATTATTCCTACTGCCATGCAAATATTTAATGGCTGATTCAGTCCTGGGGTCTGTAAACTCATAAATGGTCACACAGAGTCCTGGCTCAGCAGCCTCAACACTCAATTAATTTCCTGTGTTAATTGAAATCATCCCCAATCCTGTTCTCCTCCCAAACCTGGCCTGGCCCAGGGGAACTCCACCAGCATTGCCTCCCCTGAGAGGCTCAACACAAAACACCTGAGGCTCAACACAAAACACCTGAGGCTCAACACAAAACCCTACTGTTAATTTGGTTTTATTAAAGAGTTCCTGCTCCAGCCCATTGAGCAATAAACATCTCCATCCTTCTGCAAGGGGGAAAACATCCAGCAAAAACCACGGACGCGGTGCCAAACAGATTCCACTGTGCAGTAATCTCCACCAACATCTGCTTCCCTCTTTCAGAACTGTATCATCCAGAAAGATTGCTGGAAATGATGATATCCAGTTCATTAAAACCACATTTGCAAGTGATAAATTGCCTCCTTTCTGAGCTGGTCTTCCCAGCTCCTTTCAGCGCCAGGATAATTTCAGTGTTGCACAGGTGCCACTGATCTATCTGAGTTACTTGTACAAGGCAGGCTCTTAAGAAAAGGCTCAGGAGCTGTATGTTTAGGGGAGGAAAATGTTGATATTTCAGAATATTTCTGACATGGCCAAAGTCATATTCTGCCTATCTGATGGTCCAGCTGATGGGAAACAAATGATGGCTTCATAAATGGAAGTGAAATGTGAAAAAAAACCCTGTGGGTTCTTCAGTGTGGAGAGAAGGGGGAAAAAAAGAAAGCAAAGAAAGAAAAGGAAATTACACTGATTGTCAAACCTCTTTCTTCTGAAATCAGATCCTTAATGTCTCTGGCTGCAATACCAAACCATGGTAGGAAAATGAGTTTCCCAGGCAGACTTTCCCTCTGTAGCTCCACCCTTCAGGGAAGAAGGTGGCATTAAAAGCAGGATTATGTGTGGACCTTGCCCTGCTGAGCCTATAGCCAGTACTATTGCTGGCTGCCACCAGTTTGGTGCTGGGAGGAAGATCCTGATTTCATCCATGCAAGTGGGATCAGGTGCTGGCTCACCTGCACTGGTTCTCTCTAATTCAAATTAAACATCATTTGCATATTGCTCACTTTTGTCGTGTCAGGCCAGTGTGGGTGAAGTGGCTGAGCCTTGTGCAAAGTCTGACTTGCAATTTGCTTAACTCCCCATTTGTTTAATTTGCTGGCAGCTCTCTGAGCTGCCAAAAGGCTGATTTGTTTAGCAAAGGGTGAATGCTTTGAGAATGGAGAAATGGAAGTTATTACATTAAGCACAAAGCAAATTAAATACCCTCCATATCCACAGGCCAACATTAGGACTGTCACCATTGAATATCTACCTGCATTTCAGCTTCCTGCCTGATTTCTGGCCACAGTCCTTCATTCCAGCAGGTGGAGTGGGAAGAGGCATCTGTGAGCTCCTCCCCATCCCACCTCTGGATCCAGTTCCACAGCTGGCTGCAGGAAAGGCCTCTCCACCAGCTGCAGAAACTGCCTTCCTCTCACAGTGGAATTCTCACTAAAATCCCTCTGCAGCAGCTCTGCCATGTGGGGAAGGTCATGCCAGACCCTTTCCCATGGGGATTTTTCCCAGTCCCTCTGCTTGATTCAGGAACATTCACTGCACAGGAGCTCTGGTGCTCCCAAATCCACCACTCCTGCACTCCCAGCCTGATGGAAAAGGCCACCAGTGAACTGCACTCTTAGAGAGTCTGGTCTAGACTCTGTCATTAGACTCCTTTTTCCTTCCTATTCCAATTTTTACCTGCTTTTCTAAATGCTGGGTGTGGCTCAGACTCTCTTTGTGAGGACAGTGATAATCACAGGCTGTCACTATTCACATTCACCTTCCAGAGGGGAAATTTGTACTCCCATGTATGTAAAACCTCCCATCTTTGGTGTTCTAAGTCTGGAATCCAGCTCCAATTACTTTTTTCCTTCATGAATTCCAGGAGTTGAAAGCAGGATTTACTCCTTGGTGGCAATTCTTGTGAGACCTCCCAGAATCCAGGTATAAAAATCTTGTAACTTATGACTGTGCTGCCTAAAGAGCAGAACAAAAAGCATCTTGCCATGGACAAAGCAGCACAGGCTGCCAAGGTGGCCAAAAAGAGGCAAGAAAATTGATTTCAGTGGTACCTCAGTCTCCTGCAAGGTTCCTTTTTCCTCTTTTTCTCCAGCCCCTTGGAGATGAGCTGCAGTGCACAGAAAATACAGAACTGCAGCTGCTTCTAAGTAATCCTCAGCTTATAGGAACCAGCTAAACAATCACTGCCAAGAGTTTTGGATCTTTCAGCTTCTATGGTTTGCTTAAGGGGAGTGAAAACACCTGAAAGCTGCTCTAAAGCAAAGCTGAGGAACCTCTGAAACACCTAAAATGAGCAGACCATGAATAAGTAACACAGAAAACAAGCCCAACAAAAACTCCTGGGTCACCAGGGTGTGCTAGCATTTCATTCCCACAAGTTTTTCCCAAACATCCTTGTTGAAAGTTCTTTTGCAGTCTCCCCATCTAAAAATGTGCCAGATCCATGTGAGCCTATACTTTCTTGCCAGGCTGCAGAAATGAAGCTGAACTAAAGCAAAGATTTTTGGACACTGGGACAGCATCAAGGACGTTTTTGAGTGTTCCCAGGTGAGTTTTACTCAGTGCTTTCACCAGCAGCACTGCACTTGCCTTCTGCAACATTCCAACCCAGCCATGGATACAGCTGCTCTTCAGGCATGGATGATTCTCACATAAATCCCTGCGTCTCCAAAAGCAATTCTGCAGGAGCAGATTTTCAAAGAACCTTTCCAAAGTTCATCTGGATCCAGCTGGGAGGGAGAATTGTGATTTGCCAGGGTTTAGGAGCACTTTGCTTTACTCCTGCCTTACAAGTGCACGGAGCAGGCTCTGTGCTTTGGCAGGTGAGCTGTGCTGAACTGCAGCTGGGCTCCAGCTCATATTCCTGCATTTGGCAGGACCAAGCAGGAATCAGCACTGAATATTTTTCAGTGGCATTTAGATCTAAACGAGCCCATAAAGACTGAAGAAGATCATCATGTGCTGTCACTGCTGGAGAGAGTGCAAAAAGAAGCAGACAGTGACGTGTTTGGAGCAGCACAGACCTGAGGTCTGATTTAAATCCATATAAAACCTCTTTTCCTAACAAATAATGACCTGAGTGGGAGCTCAGGTTTTGTGCAGCCTCTCTAAAATGCACTGCTCTGCTGCCCAAAGAAATTGGAAGTTTGTCCCAGGCTCCCCCAGAGCTGTGAGGCAGCAGGATCAGCTCTCCAGGCTCTGCTTGCATTGGGTCCATCTGTCACAACTCCTGGATTTGGGAACTGCCAGAGCAGCCAACTTGGAAAGCACTGCCAGCACCAACTTTTGCAACTGAAAACATAAGGCTGCTTTACTGTTACATCAACACCACGGGGACACAGAATTCATGCTCATATTTAACAGAGTGGAATCATCATTCCCAATTACTACGGAGCAGCTGCAGAATTTTAGTTGTAAAACTCCCATTTCCATTTTATTCCCAAAGGGGTTTTTTGGGTTTAGAAAAGCAAAACTGAAGGAGACAGGACTGTTGCCTCACCCCCAGCCCCCAGAGCAAAGCCCTGCTCACAGCTGGGTTCAGCAGAGCCAGGACAGTGCCTTTGTACCAGCCCTGGGGGTGCCAAAGGTGCCAAACAGTTCTACCTGACTGGATAAAATGTGGAAATAAGCAATGGAAAGGTGATTTTGTTTTCTAATCTTCTGACAGCAAGATAAAAATCCTGTCTAACACGGTCCTGTCATAGAATCATCCAGGTTGGAAAGGACCTCCAAGACCATGAAGTATGACCTGTGACCAATCTCCACCTTGTCACCCAGTCAATTGATTCCTCTTAAATACAGGAAAAGCCATCATGGGGTTCTGTCATTATCTTTGCATCTCTAGGAATGTGAAATCACAGAATCCCAGAATGGTTTGGGTTGGAAGGAACCTTAAAGCCCACCCAGTGCCACCCCTGCCATGGCAGGGACACCTCCCACTGTCCCAGGCTGCTCCAAGCCCCAGTGTCCAACCTGGCCTTGGACAATTCCAGGGATGCAGGGGCAGCCCCAGCTTCTCTGGACATGCCCAGCAATGCTTTGGTTCTACAACTGGGACCAGGTTGAATTGGGAGGTAAAAGCTTCTCATTGCCCCTCCTTCATTGCCCCTCCTTGTCCATCCTGCTCCCATGCTCTTTGTCCCTGTGTTTAGGCAGCGCTTTCTCTTTGCTGCTCCCTCTGCTTCCACACAAATCCTTCTGCTCCTCCTACCCCTGACCTTCTCACCTCAAGGAGCATCAAGTCCAGCTCCTGACCCTGCACAGGACAGTCCCAAAATCCCACCCTGTGCCTGAGAGCATTGTCCAAACTCCATTAATATTGAAGGTCCTTCAGGGCTCAGCATCATCAGAATCCTCAAGAAGGACTCCAAGCTTTTTAACACATCATCATCATCCAACCCAGCTCACCTTCCACTCAAATGAAGTAAAACAACACAGCAATTTCATATCATGAAGTTTCAGTTAAAGTAACTCCTTTAATGAGTTTGGCTCTGCTGAAAACAAGAATGTGACTTTGCATGATTTAGCATCATCTATGAAACCCCCAGTTTAAGTCACCAATTTGATGTTCTCATACTCCAAAGGACGTCTCAATTTACTTTCTCTCCTCATATATTTATTCAATTATTGCCCCACAATCACCTGGCACCATCACTGAATGACAAGCTCAGTTACACTTAATGCACTTCCACTTTTCCCCTGCACAGACAGAAACTCCAGCTCCTACTTCTCCATAATTAATTCCTATAATACCATGACTGAAAACAATTTGATACCCAGCCTCTGAGCTTTGTGACATTCAGGCCTGTGTGGTGGCTGAGCAGTTTGTCAGGGCTGTGTTATTTACAGAATCCCAGGGTCCCTGAGGCTGGAAAATCCCTGCAGGATCAGAGAGTCCCAGCTGTGCCCAGTGCCCACCTTGTGCCCAGCCCAGAGCACTGAGTGCCACCTCCAGCCCTTGCTGGGACACCTGCAGGGCTGGGCACTGCAAAGCTCCCTGGGCAGCCCCTGCCAAGGCCTGAGCACCCTTTGCATGCAGAAATTGCTGCTGCTGTCCAAGCTGAGCCTCCCCTGGCCCAGCCTGAGGCCCTTTGCCCTTGTCCTGTCCCTGTTCCCTGGCAGCACAGCCCGGCCCCCCCTGGCTGTCCCCTCCTGGCAGGGAGTTGTGCAGAGCCACAAGGGCCCCCTGAGCCTCCTTTGCTCCAGGCTCAGCCCCTGCCCAGCTCCCTCAGCCCCTCCTGGGGCTCCAGCCCCTTCCCCAGCTCCGTTCCCTGCCCTGGACACACTCAATGTGTGTCTTGAAGTGAGTGGCCCAGAAATCCCTGAAGTTCAAGAGTAGGTCACCAACAAATTTCAGAACAAATTCCACAGATTCAGGGGTATCCAAGACCAGAAGTGGCAGCAGGTCACTGCCAGTGGGTGTCACAGCTCTGTATTAATTCAGTGTTGTATAATCCTTGGGCTGTGCACTCCAAGTCACCCAGCTCCAAATGATTCATCAGTTCAACCTCAGCAAAGCTCACAGTGATGTGTTAATTGTGCCCCATCTCCTCCCACTGCAGCTCATCAATTCAGTGCCCTGAAACTCAGAGGTAGTGTTTAGCCTGATGAAAATTCCTCAAAAATAAACAAAGTGCCAAGAAGATGGAAAAGAATTCATTGTATAAACGCTGGAATCAAATCCAGACATCAAGGGATCTCCATCACGAAGTCATAAGTGATTCAGCTGGCCAGACACTACTAAAGTATTTTATATATATATTTTAATCAAATTCCTTAGCCATCCCTGCAGCACAGTGTACATTCTAAGGAATAGATGTGCTGTATAGTCATGGAGAACCAAAGGCACCCAGCTTGTGCTCCTTTAAGCTGGCCTGAAGTCAAACCCCTATCATTATCAAGCATTCCTGAATAAAGCAATTCAGCCATCACTTCTTCTGAAGGGCTGCTCACTTGGGAGAGCTGCTCTAGTGCAGAGTGTGAGTCAGAAGAAGGAATGGAGGGAAGGACCTGCTGACTGCCTTGTGTCTTCAGCCCTGTCAGGAAGGCTTGGAGAAAGCTGTGTGCTGCAGGGATGGGAGCCTCATCTGCTTGCTGGGTATTTCTTGGCTGTATTTTTATGGATGTAACCTTACCTGGATTTCTCCCAGGCTCCAGAAAGAACAGGCAGCTCTGGCAGGTACATCCTTGGCAGTGCCTAAACCTGCACAGGACCTCACCTTGCTCTTAACAAAGCCAAGTTCCTGACCACTGATGAACCCTGATGTGTCACACACTCCACACACTCAATTCTTACTCAAGGAAAAAGAAATATCCAGGATAATCCAGGTTCAAAATCCCAAAATCTCCTGCTGGTTCTGTGGGTAGCACTGGAAAGAGGAAAGTATTGGAACTGCCACTCCTGTACAGTGTCTCAGGGCATCCTCAAGGTTTATGGTGTGTTCCCAAATATTTGAGCACCTTCAACTAACACAGAATCCCAGAATGGTTTGGGTTGCAAAGGTTTTACAAACCCACCCAGTGCCACCCCTGCCATGGGCAGGGACACCTTCCACTGCCCCAGGCTGCTCCAAGCCCCAGTGTCCAACCTGGCCTTGGGCACTGCAGCCACAGCTTCTGTGGCCAAGTCAGCCTGAGAGATCCAAAAATGCACCATGGGCTGTGATCCCATCATCACCATCACCCCCCTAAAACACAGCAAGGTCCCTGGAGAGCAGTGTCAGCCTTTTCAGCAGATACCAGCAATATCTGTATGAAAAAGATGGCAAAGGAAGGATTTTTGACACTTACTTTTGGAGGGGACCCTCAGGTTGGACCTCACCACCTGCAGGGAGTCTGCCTGCACTCGGAGCTCGTAACTTTGGACACGTTCATAGTCCAGAGGCTTCTTCAAAGAGATCACTCCTGTCCTGTTGTTAATGGCAAACACATCTGGAAGCCAGCAAAAACACAGGAATTTTATGAGATGCATAAACAGGGATTTTCAGTGCCCACTGGTTTTATTTTGGGGATGACACAGTTCTCTGACCCTGCCAAGCAAGTCGTTCCCTCCCTGCCTCCTTCCCTCAGGTTTGGAAAACCCCACCTAGCTCATCTTTGAAGATATTTTTAAGCAGCAGAGTGGCTTGATCTGCCCTGCTACTGGAATAACCAACACAGCATCACAGAATCATGGAATATCCTGAGCTGGAAGGGACCCAAAGGATCAGGGAATAAAACTCCCTGCACAGATGTGTTTTGAGTATAAATGGAAAGATGGGACAAGACACAGAGCCCACTCTCAAAAAAGGGAGGATGGGATGGGGAATTTTTTACATCCCTCCCAATAATTCTGTGTTATTTTGTCAAGATTTCCAGGTGGAACACAGAGAGTATCCCAGCAGGATGTTTTGTTTGGATATCAAGCTCTAATCCAATATTTGTTACAGCACGGCCGAGTCTATAATCCCTTAAATCAGATTTTTAAGCAAGTCAATTCCATCAAAGCTATTTATGTTTGTATTTTGATGTGCCATGGACTCACACTATGTGGCATCCACGGGAATTTTCACACCAGTGAGAAATATTTTCTTGTAATTTTGCTAATTAATCTGATCATTAGTTTATCTCCAAAGGCTTGGTAATGATAGATACAGAAACATAGAATGGTTTGGGTGGGAAGGGATGTTAAAGCCCATCCAGTGTCACCCCCTGCCATGGTCAGGGACACCTTCCACTGTCCCAGGCTGCTCCAGCCTGGCCTTGGGCACTGCCAGGGATGCAGGGGCAGCCCCAGCTGCTCTGGGCACCCTGTGCCAGGGCCTGCCCACCCTGCCAGGGAACAATTCCTCATTCCCAATATCCCAGCTAAACTTCTCTGTTCCAGCCTGAAGCCATTCCCCCTTATCCTGTTCTTTACAAAAACTGCCTCTCCAGGTTTCTTGTCAGTCCCTTCCAGCCCTTGAATTCCTTCCTGCTTGTCCAGATGAGGTGGGATTTCACCTCCATGACCTGAGAGCTCTTCTCCAACCTCCATTATTCTGTGATTCACCTCAGCAGCTTTACTTCCCCCCAATTTCCAGTAGATCTCTGGTTCCCCATTTCCACAAGACTGAAATGCCAATATGAATATGAATATGAATATGGTGGCACTCACCCTCTTCATTCCCTGACACGATGGAGTACACCACTGTCTGGTTCAAGGCGGCCGCGGTGACAACGGTGACCACGGTTCCCTTCGGGGCACTTTCACTCACTGGGGGAGGCCTGCAGAGTGGGACACAAGGATTTGTGTTACATTCCTGAGCAGCAGATTATTGACACTTATTCCTCAGGTTCGTATGGCCTCCATCTATTAGGCTGCCAGAGGATCTGTTACGAGGGAAAATCACATTAAAAAGGAAGATGTTTAACATTTGAGAATGCAAAAGTCCCCGAGAAGTCAATAGACAAGAGATGGCACCCTAAAGATGTAATGATTGTTGGATCTGAGAAGTGGGAAAGCAGGGAATAATGAGAAAGAAGAACCACCACAGCCTGATAAATTGGAAGTAAAAGACAAAATAGATCTTTTCTATATATATTTTATATAAATATGTAGATCTCTTTTATAATAGATCTTGAATATATTCAAGTCTACTAAGAAAACTCAGAAATCTGTCAGAAAACAACTCAGGAAAATTCATTCATGAGTAAAATTCCATGCCTTAAACAGGAACCAATTTGGGGCCACCTCTATGGGAATTTCCACTCCTCACAAATAACAAAAAAATTTCCTGCCAACACATTTTGGTACCAAAAATCCGGGATGCTTTTCAGGAAATGAACTGCAATCCAAGGCTACCCAAGCTCTGTGAGGGTGGGCAGGCCCTGGCACAGGGTGCCCAGAGCAGCTGGGGCTGCCCCTGGATCCCTGGCAGTGCCCAAGGCCAGGCTGGACACTGGGGCTTGGAGCAGCCTGGGACAGTGGGAGGTGTCCCTGACATGGCAGGGGTGGCACTGGGTGGGCTTTGAGGCCCTTTGAACCCAAACCATTGCATGATTCTGAGCTGTTGTCTTTAAATCAGCAATCCAAACAATTTCAAGAAGTGAGAGGCTTAAGCTCATCTCAAATCCTCCCCCTCAGATTTTCCTCATGGCAAGCAGTGGTTGAATTCATGCTTCAAACTCTTCAAAATCCATTTAAAAGGAAGTTTTGACAGTCATCTATGAATGTAGATGGGAGTTTTTAATGTATTATGCAGATGTTTTCAATTTTTAAAAATTACACTCATTCGATAGATAACAAAATATACACCAGATGAGGATCTGCTCAGAGAAGCTCCTGAGTTTGAAGATCAGTTGTGCACTGATCTTCAAAATTCTGGAGAGAATCTACAGCTGCTTCTTTCCAGGGAATATCATGGAGGTATTCAGAAGGCCAAATGGCACCTGGGGACATGGTCTGGTGGTGGCCTTGGCAGTGCTGGAGGAACAGTTTGATTGGATGATCCCAGGGGTCTTTTCAGGCCTAAATAATTCTGTGAATATTCCATGAATATTCCATTACTGTCCCCTGTCATCTTCCAGGTGGTTTTCAAATCCTCCAACCTGCAGCACATTCTCCCATTCTAAGGGCAGGGAATGGGCACAGCCCCGAGGCTGCCAGAGCTCCAGGAGTGATGGGACAGGGTGGGATTGCTGGGGTGTCTGGGCAGGGCCAGGATTATTGGGATCAATAATCCTTGTGTGCCCCTTACAACTCAGGATATTCCATGATTATATCAAAGTTGGAACCCCAGGACACAATCCCAGCTATTGAACCCAAACTTCTCCCACCAAGAAGTGGCCAGTCTTCTCTTGAAGTCTGCCTTACAAACATTTCTTTGGCATCAATATTACTCTGAACTTCCAAAAAATTTAGGGATAATGAATATATGGAATTAAGTTTTGGATCATGCAATATAACAGTGATCTCCTCTTTTTTTCACTGATAGAAAAATCCCCTTTTACCCAAACCCACATGCACAGAGCAGATCCCTCTGCTCCCACTGTTCTGCATCAGTGGTTGGAATAAAATTGCTCCTTAATTTAATAAGCTCTTAAACCATTGCTATGAAAAGCTTTTTAAGGTGCATTTAACCAATGCAAATGCTAATCTTAGGGATTAAAAAGATGCCAAAAGGCAGGGAAAGACAGGGGGAAAAGCCTTACAAAGCTGGAAGCATTTAAAGCTAGAGTTCTTTTGATGAGGTCAGAGAGGAAAATGCCCTTTTTATGCTGCATTATAGATGATTTTGTTTTCTTTGTCTTCTGAAGGTGTGGGAGTGATACAAAATACCCTACATTTCATTCCCAGCACAATTCCAGGATATTTCTGCAGTGGGAATGACCTTATAGCTCCCTCTGCCAGTGCTGAATCCAAGGGATTGACAAATCAATAATAATTAGTGAGAGGTTTTGTGTTTGCTCTGGAGAGAGGGGAAGAACAGCACCCCCCACTCCCCCCCATGATAATTGCATTGATTTCATTCCCTTCTTTTCATTCCAGGGATTGGGAACAAGAGGAGCAATGCATCAGCTGCAGTAAAACACCCAGCTCATCCCTTCAGAGCATTCCTCTGGGCTGTGGAGAAGCAAAGCAGCAAAAGATGAGCATCCAACTTCCCATATCCTGCTCTTTATCCTGTGCTTCCAGCTCTAATAACCTTTGTAAGGGAATAAACTCCTTATTTTCCAATGTTTGAATGGCTAAGATGAATAATGGTGCTTTTTTTCCCCCTGACATATTATTTGAAGGTGTTTTAGGGCACAGGCAAAGGTGTTTTAATGCCATCATTTTGCATCACTGGATGATAAAAGCTGGAATTTTTGTGGGAAGAGGAAAGCATGAGAATCCAGCCCAAACCACCCAGAAAAGGATGAGAAAACCCCTGTGGGAGTGGAAGGGAAGGGAATGGGAATTTCTGTGAGCTCAACACCACTGGGGGAGCAGGGAGGGTGAAGGGATTGGTGTGTCAGTGTCACCCAGGGTGGGGCTGGTGTGTCACTGTCACCTGAGCATGGGGTTGGTGTGTCACTGCCTCCCACCCCACTGCTGACTCCATGGAACCAGAGTTGTTAAGGATGGAAAAACCCTCCAAGACCATCAAATCCAGCCATGAACCAGCACCACCCTGCTCACCACCAACCATGGCCCCAAGTGCCACATGCACACAGTTTATCAACACCTGCAGGGCTGGGCACTGCAAAGCTCCCTGGGCAGCCCCTGCCAAGGCCTGAGCACCCTTTGCATGCAGAAATTGCTGCTGCTGTCCAAGCTGAGCCTCCCCTGGCCCAGCCTGAGGCCCTTGGCCCTTGTCCTGTCCCTGTTCCCTGGCAGCACAGCCCGGCCCCCCCTGGCTGTCCCCTCCTGGCAGGGAGTTGTGCAGAGCCACAAGGGCCCCCTGAGCCTCCTTTGCTCCAGGCTCAGCCCCTGCCCAGCTCCCTCAGCCCCTCCTGGGGCTCCAGCCCCTTCCCCAGCTCCGTTCCCTGCCCTGGAATTGCTCTGAAATATTTGAAACATTTTCAATGAAATGGTTCTTTCTGAACTTCTGAACTGCCCACCTTCTCAAACCTGTGATTTTTGATTCCTTCCCAAAACTGCCATGCCCAGGATCCACATCCATCCCATCCCTGGATGTGAGAATGTCCCTTGCAATAAATGTTAAAATCCACCTGCATCCCACAAATCTCAGGGATAAACCTCAACTAAGACCCACTTTAATCCCCATCCCACCTCAGCCTTATCCAGAGTTTTAATCTCCCCTTCTCCACACAGCCACCCTTTGACCATGACAACTTTAATTTACTTCATCCATTTCCAGTCTTATTTTTTTCCATGACCATCACAGCAATGTGGCATTTAGGCACTTTAACTTTTCCACAGGAATAATAAATGATATATTGGGAGTATCCAGGGTGGGATGGAGACCAGAAGAGACCTCGTTGATTTCTTTGAGTGTGAAACCACAAAATGTGTTTGTCCCTCAGAAAATAAACAAAGCAACCACAAAGAAGAGCAGGATTAAAATAAAGACATTATTTGTGCACAAAAATACTGAAAATAAATACAATTTTTTAAAAAAATCACTGAATTTGCTATATCTTAATTATCTGTGTCTTGATCAGAGTGGGAAAGGGACACTGAGCACATCACAAACACATTGCAGGGCACAACCACTGGAAGTGTCCAAGTGAAATTTTAACTTTTCCTCTCTACTTTTCTGGTTCTTCTTTTTCCCTGTGCTAAACACATCACTCCTAGCCCTTTTTCAATTTGCCTGATAGCCAATATGCTTTAAATTCACCATGAAACTTGTCTATCTCCAAAAGCATGAATGCGAGATTTAATAAAAAATTAAATTTCAAGCCAGCAAACCCAATAATAATTTGGAAAATTGGTTTAGAGCTGAAGCTTAATAGTGGGATGTGAATGGACTCCATATGAGCAACTTCAGTTGCCTCTACTTTGTGGACTTTTATTTTATATCTACTTACATAGAATATTATAATACAAAATATTTTTATATATTCATATTTTAATTTATGGGGGTCCATAAAAAACCCTCAGAAATTAAGTTTTGGTGCTGTTTAATTAAATTGCTCACCTCAACCCGATTACCATTGAGGGTATTTTTATTTTTAGGGTGGTGAGAGGGCCAGAGCAGCTGTGGCTGCCCCTGGAACCCTGGAAGTGCCCAAGGCCAGGTTGGACAGGGCTTGGAACAGACTGGGATGTCCCTGCCCATGGCAGGGCTGGCACTGGATGGATTTTAAGGTCCCTTCCAACCCAAACCAGTCCTGAATTCCATGATCTCCATGGCAGCTCTTTTACCCTTTCACCAGCACATAAAAACTGCCTTGGCTTCCTGTGCTTGCTCAATAAAAGACAGACCTGGACGTATTTTAGAGCAATAAACCAGCATTTTATCAACTTTTATACATGTTTTAGAGCAAGAATCCATCAATTTATCAAGTTTTTACTTTCCTAGTAACTCCCTGAACAGCTTGTCCCAGGCAATTATATTTTTTTTTTCTGGAAAATAATATTTTTGTCTTAATTAGATGTATTTATCAAGCAGTTTATCTTCAGAGTGTCACACATTCCTTCCTGGAGTTGATAGCCTGCCTTTCTGTCTCAATTCCCAGATAGGCTGGAGGCACTCTGACCTTCCTATGGTATTTATCTCCAAGACAAATGACAAGGGAGTCCAGACATTGCCCCAGTGATCCTGTCTTAACCTATT